ACAACATCACCCGCTGTTGAAAGTTCTGCGTGTCTTACTTTTGGAACAAGATGTTCAATACTCCGCTTGAACGTACTCAGATGCAAAATTCAGTATAATAATTAGCATATTGTATATTTAGTACTATTTTACATAGGAAATAATAAATAACTCAAAGATATTTCGAAACGTTCCTTAAAATTAGGAGGGCGTTATGTACACAAAGGAAGAAAGAAGGAAAAGGAAAAAAGAACAGGAACAATAAACATGAACGAACATGACCCCCTCCCGGTGTAATTTCACCCACAGTAGCGCGATCGCGCGATCCAGATCGCGCGATCACAGCGATCGCGCGATCCAAATCACGCGATCACAGCGATCGCGCGATCCAAATCACGCGATCACAGCGATCGCGCGATCCAAATCACGCGATCCGGATCGCGCGATCGCGAAGTCTGAACGCGCTCTTCGACTCCCGCCTGGGGCACGACTTTTGCCCACAACTCAGCATTCTTGTGATAACATTCGGAACGCGTACTGCGGCGTTAAACAGCAGTTATCATAACAAAACAGCTGTACACTACGTTTGTGCCTTGTGAATGGGGTGCATGTAGATTCGTACAAGGGAAACTTTCAGTCTTCCAGGTAGTAAAGCTCACCCTAAGGGCACGGGGGTTTAGAAATGGTAATATATGCGGCTCGAACACTAATGAAAAGATGGCGAATAGTACGAAGGTAAAGAAGAAACCATTCGAAATGGAGAGACCAGTAGCGGATCAATGGCGCCACCAGTAAGCCTTTCAACATGGGAGCTAGGGGTTGCCGTGACCACTCAGCGGGGCGGTAGCTTCGTCGCGAAAGGGCCCTGCTCTCCTCACAACGAGGAGCTGCCTTTGTACTTCATAAGGGAGCATTTGCCTGAATGTTCATGAGAGGTTAAGCCTTGAGAAGCATAAGCAATGAAGCCAAGATTCACGATTTCTGTAGACTGTCAATCAGGAAAACCTTATAGTTTATTGTTTCGAACGAGTTACCCAACTTGGTAAACACATACCTGTACCTGCTATGACACCATAAGGGCAACGTAATCGCGCCAAACGATCGGCGGCGAATGTGGTGATTCGCGATTTCGAAGAATGCATGAAAAAAGGGTCGAACGATCGGCGGCTAGATTAGAGAGAAATGGCGGATTCTCCAAATCGATAAGTATGCTTTCCGTTTCTTGTGTTTTCACATTCTTAAAGGCAAGTGGCACGATAAATCCACAAAACCTGTAGGATTATAACTCCAAGAGGGAAAGGATTGGCGCCCCTAACTAGGCGCTGGGTAGCGCCTTTTCCAAGAAGGGTACCCCTATTGTGCACCTATATGCGACCCAAACGCCCACCGCGCCCATCGGGCCAAAAGTGTCCGACCGGTGGTGGTGCTCGTGTCATTTCATTTGCCAAGTACGTTGTGGTGCTGCATGGATATATGAGTACATGCATGCAGCTGTATCTTCAGCATCGGTGGTTGGCGCGATGCCAACAGGATACTCGCCCAACACAGCTTCCTGAGTCGCGTAAAACAAGAGGTCTGCATGCAGGTTTTTGACCGTTTCTCTTCAACTTTTCGCCATTTTCCCCTCCCCACTGTTTAGCATCCGTGCTACCGTTCTCGATTGAGTACCGAATTATCGTGTCTCATACCTTTACACCTTAGTTCGCTGCGGACGGTTGGGCGTGTCAGCCAGTATGAGTGTTCACACCTTCAGAGCCTTTCTCTGCCTTCTTGTTGAAATGCGCATGCGACAAAAAGTGGTAGAAAACGAGTAATACGAAGGATATGATACAGTATTGTCACTTGCCCGCTTCAACAACTGGTGGAGAACGAGTTTGGCACCGCGCCAAACGCAGCCGCACTGACACGCCCAACCGTCCGCAGCGAGTTACAGTATAGATATGTGCGCGACCTTATACAGTCTCGTTCGCTGCGGATGAATTAATGTTTCAGGCGGGATTTGACGCGCCTCCGAACCAGTTTTCTACCAATTGTTGCTCTTACCCGCTTCAGCATTAGTAGAGAACGGGTTTTGCGCCGCGTCAAACCCATCCCGCTTTACACGCCCCTTCATCCAAAGCGAACGAGGCCGTAGCTACGTAGCGGTGCTCAAATTCTTGAAAATACGTTCAGTGTGTCTATTTTCATGACCGTCGTATTTGCTGAACAGTGCTGTAGTACCTTCGAACAAAGCTACCAGATATTGCAGGTATTGCTGACGGGATAGGAGCATGGATGGCGCGTTGTCACGAGCTGTTGCAGCTGCAGCTCGTTATGTCGCCGACTCCAACATTGACAACACCGCCCTCTTTGAAGACTCCTTGAAGGTATTTTCTAGCTCGGAATTCAACTAAACTATTGGTTATACTGTTGCTCTAATTATTGTACGTACTTGTCATGACCCTTTTATCCACCTGTGTTCCAGGTACTCATACGCCACTTAGACGGTGTGGAGGCCACTGGAAAATTATCGCTTACCAATCAGTTTCTGAGCGAACTGCTCGACTACAGTCCACACATTCTCTCAGCCAATACATCAAGTGCACCGACCAGGTCAAAGCTGCTGCGTCTTCTTTTTAGTCTAGGTATAGTGTTTCTTTTACTACCTGTTTCTTAGAGAGTGCTGTTCTTTTGAATTTCTATGATGAGACTCACTTACTGCACAAGTTTCTGTATAAAAACTGGGTACCCACAGCTATTAAGGATCATAGTTCAATATAGGGTACTAAAATAGTGGAAGACCAGTTGACCGCACGTCTGCATCAATCTCTCAAGCTCGTAACAGGGCGCTAATACCTCGCGATTTGGTCGTCCCGGTCGCGCGTGCAATTCGATCGAACTGCGCATATCGGCGTCAGTCGGTCGCTGCCGCTGATCCCTCCAGTTGCGCGATTAATCGCGATCAGAGCGACTGAATCGCGGAGTACAAACGCATTCTAACCAGCGCCTAGGTTTGGGGCGCAAAGATCAGAGTGTCGCAGAGAGGAAGAGTCTCCACCAATCCTGGGCCTTGATTCCCCAGTTAGAGAGGGTACGGAGGCGCTTCCTAGTGGTCATCCCCCGGATTTTCGACGAGGGAATTCGCTTCTCACGGCATATATCTTTCTCAAGCCATTTTTTTTTTTTGTATGGGACTACTGGTGCTTAGATGATGGTTTCTGACTAACCAGGAATGAGCTCCTATGTAGATGAATAGCTGCTTTGTGCAAAAACTGGTCTTTCCATGATAGTGGCGCACAATTCAAGGATTTCTTCCTCCTCCCTAGCAAATGAAATATGTGACGTCGCAACATGTGTGTGGCGCGTTGTACCGCAGTCCTTTATTGGAGTCCCGCAGTGTTAACCGAAATTCATCTTTATTTTCAATATCCTCAAGACAGTAAGTAAAAGCCTCAAAAATCAGGGAGTAATTGCATTACTCAGGCTGAGTTCACACAACGCGATTTTGGAGATTCAGTCGCGCGATTTGAGAATTGCGAAACTGTGACAGACCGCGATCTACCGCTAGTCGTTGGAATGGCAATTGTGATTCCAGTCATTAAGTATGGAACTTCACGCGGTCGTTGGTTAGGAAATGGTTGGCTAAAAATTACCGGAGCGCTGTAGGCCGCTTTCACATGTTTGAAGCGCCCGAGTTGGGAAGTATGAACGCGGCCTCATATGTGCCATTCACAGTTTTACCAATGTCCGCCGAATACGGCGAGCGGTATCTCAGCGGCGAACTTCATCTTGCGGAGCCAAGTTTTTGAAGTGTTTTGAAGATGCTTTACTGAAAGAGCAGCTGGGGCCTCAAAATCTAATAGACATTCTTCGTCTGCTGCAGGTATGCTCAGTCTTATCCCTTTCACTTTCTTCTATTTTTATTAAGTTGGCCAGGAAATTCCTGGTCACATTTTTTCCGAATTTTTGTATAGCAGACGGTGTATTCAAAATTATACAGCAAATATCAATGCGGGTTTTTCAAATGCAGCGCCGGCGCGACGCAATGTTGGACATCATCTCAATTTTGACTTAGGCTCGAGCCATGCAGGTTTTCTGGCCATATGACGGTTAACGGAAGGCAACTAGCAGTTAGAAAGAGCAACATCTGGGCTACGCCTTGTGCCATAGGGAGCAGCCATCCAGCCCCTATTGCCATGGAAAGTAACGGTCGAACTTTTTGACGGGCGTGTACTGAACCAGCACACGTTTGAAGACGAACCTTGTGCCGATTGGATTTTGACCTCTGCTTTGACGAACCCCCCGTTTCGCTTCAGATCTGTAGCCCTTTTGCGTACGGGAGGGGAGCAGCTTTCTTCAGCAGTTTCCATACCTACAGCTCCCTCAAGCTGAGTTCACAGGTGCACCCAAACCTCACCTCATCATTCAAGCTGTAGGCTCCCGCTCTGAAGCATTAGCGTCGTGGAGGGTTGTTTGATAACTGTGGACATCGTCCTTATGCAGCTCATGTATTTTGGCAATCGACAGCTGCTCATGTCTGGCGCGCCAGGAGAGTAAAGGACCATTCCCTGATGTTATAACTGTTTCACATGTAAACACGTTAACCCTCCTCAGGTAATGGGCCAAGTATTTCGGGTTCATAAAAAATGACAAGAACTTTCCGTGCTACGGCTACTACTACACGCTTTCCCCGTTCGTTACATAAACGACCGTGTTTTTGAGACCCGTATCCTCACCTTGTGATGCTGAGTGTTTCTATTTCGCGCACTTTAGATTTTGACTTATGAAAAATGTTTGGTACTCGGAATATGGACAAACGATTTGATATCTTTTCTCATGGGTGAGATGTAAGTTCAATTTCATTTTTATGCGGGCTTCCTGTCGCTGTATACTTGCGCTGCTCAATTTAGTACTTAGGGAACACGGACGAATGGAAATGGATGCCTTAACTGCAACTCGCCAATTTTTGTTGCAATCTCCGCTCGGCGTCAAAGTCGGTATGCATGCAACGGATAAAAAATCGGAGTTTGTTCTGGAAAGCTATGGTATTCACAGTAATAATCACCATAAGTAGTAATAGTTCGAACGTTATCGCTATACGTTCTTTTAGACATCGACTACAAGGCATTTTCCTCCGTCGTGTTCATCAAATTGTTTTGTAACATGATTTCACGTATCGTGTTTCTTCTTCGTTGTGGGTCTTGGTGGGGATTACCTCGAGAGAAAGCTTCGAGATATTGGTATGTTTGTAATTTTTTTCAGAGACACAACACAGGCAATTTAGTATTTATGGGATAGTGAACATGTTATAACAAATGCTATATACCGCTTAAAAGTAAAAGTTTTAGAAGGAAAAAAAAAACAAAGAAAAAATGGTGGAGAACACCTGTGCGAGTTGTCCGGACCTGCTCTTTTTATGCCAGCAAAGCGATATCATGCCGCCTCCGGCTCACTAATCGTTTCCTCACGTTAGTGTCTAGTGCTAATACTGTCTACCAGTGAAGAAAAACAACTTGCGACAGAAAAAACCGCTGGGTGTTCGTGGGCGGGACAACTAGGGAGGCGTCGGGACTTATGGAGCCGCGTTGCTTGAGCGCGAGGCTGTCTTTGATTGGATGGGTCGTTTGCGCTTAAGTTCGGAAGATAAATACGGCGATTATGATTAGTTAGACCACGTTCATAATTTGCTGGTGTAGAGAAACTCCTATTCGGGAGAATCCGTGGCAAAGAATTATAAGAGCAAAAATTGACTCCGCTCATTATTGTCTTCGGGAGTTCTGCTGTGCTCGGATGTGCGAAGTGAACCAGTTCCCATTTGTTTATTTATTGGTTTGTTCATTTATTTGCTTATTTATCGCACTCTAGGTGCGCAACAACAAATTATATAGTCATTTTTCGCCGCCTCCCATTAATGGCAGGTCCTTTGCAAACTATGAACGCGCTATTATGACCTCTTTCACAAAGTGGGCGCTCAGTTCTCCAGGCGCTATATATCAAACACTCAGGAGCGGGTCCTTCAGCTATGAGGATGGTGCGGAGTTGGACAATACACTCGTGATTTGCCGCACTGGCGCGCAGCGTATCGTGCGGCGACGCGCTAGAAATTCTAGGCACACATTAATTAGCTTTTAACTGGAGCAGTTCAAATCATATGAATTCAAGCAGACATTTGTAGAGATCGGGATAGGCGATGTCGAACTTTCCCGTTCATTTAAATCTAATATTCAAAGGGCTATGCAAGACAAGTGGTCTGTCGCGTGCGGGGTCGCACGCCGCGCCTACCAACGCGGCAGATCACGAATGTCTTGTCACATACCCAGGATACAGAGCTGCAAAAGAGATACGCATAAAGTGGAACTTTCCAGGTCTATTGTTCACAAAATATTCATGAGACCTTTCAATGTGTATTTAATGTTTTAATAATGGGTGATAGTGAATGTCTGATGACTCGTCATGTTGCTTCTGATCTTCTACGAAGGCTAGTCGTGTCGGAAACCCAAACGGTTGGTTTTTCAGAGCATTATTTTCGGACAACTGTTGCCATTTTACCACCGTTCTTGAAAATGATATTGATTTCTGAGAAAACTTCCCGCTCACCATCTATTCTTGAAGGTGTCTTCAATCCCAGTGATCACTTCAACTGGAAAGGATGTGATGAATTATCCGTTTTTCAAAAGGTGCATCCAGCAGACTGCGGAATTGCTGGTGACACTCGATCCGAGGTTTGAAGAAACTCTGAAGGTAGCGACTTTTTCTTCAGGATGGTGGCTGTCGCAGCGTATTTAGGCTGGGGAGGAGATGAGAGCTTTTTGCTTTTCCGCTGCTTCCCATTGTCGTGTCGAGGCATCAAGGAGAGATTTCTAAAAATTTGCAAAGTCATAAAGTGATACCAGTCAAAGTTTATTGGAGCAATAACCACGATAACGGGAAGCAACATAAGTGCAAAATGCACCCCATCTACCGAACCCCATGATATGAATTAAGTCGCTTTCCATTTAATCTAGTATACGAGGATGTTGCTGGCCGTTCTGCCTCTTCCACAACTCTGGCTCGGCCAGTCTGCTCTGCCTCGAGTTTCTCCAACGAATCGCCTCCACCCATCCTTAGCATCTGGACTGTTTCCATACCCATAAAGATGCATGCAACCGAATATCCTCTAAATCCTTCGATTACTTACATTCCTATGAAAGATTACAGTGTCTTCCAAAAGACTCTCGATTTTTTCGTGTATTACATCGCTTCCTTCTTAGCTTCCTGCGATGTGCATCTAGGGTTGCCCGGGTTCGGCGCAGCGCCGCCCTTCTTCCACCAGTTGTTAATAGTGAGCAAGCACAACCAACGGTCGGAAAGATTCGGCTACTAAAGCCAGACCCTGGCAAAGGCACGTCGTTATCATGATGAGTCCCAACGATAACGGGGTCTATCGTGAGAGTGAGGGTCGGTGATGCATTAGAGAAAAATGTTTCCCTTCGATTCTAATATTTATTCCACTCGCTTTACCTACTCGCTGCCCTTTCCCTTTCAGTATGGTGGCAGATGTTCGAGGAAAAGTGACGTAATTTTTAAAATTTTGGGAAAATGTTAGATAGAAGGGAACGTAAGGGGGGTGGGGTGGTCAAGAAAATGCCTAGGTGGACGCGGAAGGGGAGGGGGCGGAAAAGGTGCAAGTTCCGAGAAAGTTTGTATTTTGCAAAATTTCCCCTCCCCGCCCCAACGGCAGGACTTACTCTGCCTCTGACACGCCCTGTCATCCACAAGCCGCCTCTATTAGTTTTCTTACTTTCTTGAAAATAGAAAAGCTAAACTTTTGTCAGGAAAAACTCGACGCTGGTGAACATATAGGTGATCTAATAAGTCCTGATCAAATATTGTCTTTGGTTGATACAGCCGTGAAGACTTCAGTCGAGACATCGAAGCCAGAGATTGTATATCAGTGTAGACTTATCACAGAGGGGCTTCGACTAGCAGAAGGTCCGCATTCCTTGTTTTGTTTCTCTTTTCTTCAATCATGCTTCATTTTCGGAATGTACATCAGTAATTGCAGTGTGCACTGCTGACGAGGATCTTCGAAATGGGTTGTTGGAAGTTACAACTGCAGCTTTATGTGCTCATATCTCCGAGACGCAACTCATAACAAATCCTGTCGTGGTTTTCATGGAAAAACCTCCGTCTCAGCGAACAGAAAAGACTGCTGAATGGGGGTTCGTTTGTCTTTTTTGGGCGGGTAGGGGGAGTACTCAAAATTCTCGAAGATAAGATGACTTGACGGCGTTCGGTTTCAGTGTTCATGGTGTAGCGGTGGTTCTGGAATTGCTGCGACTACTCGCTTCTCTCAAAGACTTTTCCAAGCTTCACAAGGATCAGTACTGGAGATCATTGAAGGTGGGTCTTTAAATTATCCTTTAGTTGAATCGTGCAGGGGTATTTTCAGTGTTGCTTCATTGTAGGATCCTCGCCTTATATCGTTTCTTGCCTTTGCACTCGCATACGGTGACCACGAAATGGTACATAACGCACTGGTTATTTATACGCATTGCTCGCAATTGCAGGCTTTTCCAAGTCGATGGTTAGTTTTCGCATTTCTGTGCATTTTAAGATTCATTTTAATTCAAAACTAGTCCTCCATGCTGGCCTGAGAAAGCATAAGCCGTTGAATAGTGGCTCGTTGAGACGCGCCATACATTCTATTTTCATTGGGAGTCGTAGTGGCATTGAAATGGGATTTCCGCAATACAGTGAAACGCGTGACCAAGCGACGTACAGATAGCTGTTATATCCTCTCATATGGGTCT